TCTTGTTCTTCTTTTTTTTTCCTTTATCGTTTTAAAAGAAACGCGGTCTAGCTCGTACAGTTAATTTCAGACTGGTGAATTCTTCTGAAAAACGCCATTTTATGGGCGAAAGTTACTTTGTGGCAACGTGACTACCCGATCCAGGGTTGGCTCATCCCCAATCTGTTGCCTGATTCTGAACTTCAAAAAAGTAACCGAGGTGAAACAGGAAGTAGGTGACGAGCTAAAGATTTACCCCACAGCTGTTTCTGCACCCTGAGTTTTGTCTTCCAGGTCCATCCACTCACAGGCTGTGTGTACGCCCCCATCAGTCTGACATGGTCTGGGTTTCACCACTACAACATTTACTGAATGAAAAGAGGGAAACCATTCAAGGTGAAGAAATTAGGCACAACTGGAATATGTAATGAAGAAATTAAAAAATATAAAATAAAAGTCACATGGAGGCTATTGTTTAAAAATGTTACAAAAAAAACACAAATTATGTTTTTTTTTTCTTCTTAGACTTGAATTGGAAAAGGACATTAAAAAATCAAGTAAAGATAAATTAATAAGTGAGTTGTCTGTTATTTACTATTCCATTACAAGTTTTCCTCTGCTAACATTTTATCATCTGTCAAGAAAATTATACATATATATATATATATACATATATATATATATATATATTTGTAATAAAAAAGACATAATTACCAAAATTGGATGTAGGGAATGTTTCCGAATCCATTATTTATTATGTTATGAAAACCTAAATGAATGTGTATGCAGCCTACAAGCTGAAAGAAAGGTTTATACAGTTCCTATCACAGAACAGAAAATATAAGGAACCCAAAATACATAGAATGTAAATACTGTATAAAACCTGTGAGTCCTCAACACATTTCAGATGTTTATGTTTTTAGTCGGTTATGACATGGTTGGTATTTGGATCTGTCTAAGTGAGCTCTGTTTCGCCTACAAGACTACACTCAGGGAACAAACTAATGCTGTTAGAGCCGGTTAGTCTAAAATCAGCTCTGTGGGCGGGTGGTATCTTTTACACTTGAGCTTGACCATGACCATTGATTCCTCTATCGAAATCAATCGTTAGGGAGAGGAAGTGGGCCTCTTGACAAAGCTCCTCAGACTGCAGAAATAACTCTTCAAGGAGAGTTAAATAGGCTTTTCCACTTGAGAGATCCAAAATAATTAAAGCATATAGGCCTATTTTATGCAGCACCGTTTTAGTCTTAATGAATGATTAGAGTAGGCTTTATTTTACTCTGTAACAATACCGTCTGTATTTTCAATTTGGAGTTGACCTGTAAGATTTTAAAACAATTGTAGTTTCATTAACTCATGTGCAATACAAGTGTACAAGATACTTTTTATGATGATTTTACCATAAGTTTGCATTTTTCTACACTTAAGAATTAAAAGTTATTGTGAAGGATTTTGTATAAAAAGTATGCTTGTGTTGTTCTCAAATTGTGTGACTGCAGATACTTGCAAAGAACTAGGGCAAACAAAAGCAAACTCATTAAGTGCAACGTTAATGTTATTATTTCTGAGAAAATAAATGTAGTCAGCAACAAATTATCTTTATGATTTAAGGTCGGAACATCTGCATATTCAAAAATACAGACCATATACAGGCCTGGCATTGCACATACACAGCTATAAGTTCCCTTAGGTGATATATTCTCGTCCCTTTATTTCCACCAGGGGGCAGTATCACATTTACTATACAAGAGTTTTTATTTTATTTTATATATAGTGTGAATGTTTCAAACCCAGAAATAAATGAGAGTACTAACAATACATTAAAAAAATAAAAAAAATAAAAGGAACTATTGTGTGTTTAAGTCTGAGTAGATGAGGAGGATCATAAGTGCCCTCATGTTATATTATATTATATTAT